TGCTGTGTGCCAACAGCTTTGTGCTCTCAGCCTGCCTGCCTGCTTGCCTGGCTGCAGTGTCAGGAATCAGAATGGGGATATAGAAATGTCTATATGCAAAAGATACAATTCATTCAAAGTGTAAAAAGAATCAGTTTAATAGTTTCAGGTTGTGTACCTATCATACAACTTTCACTGTAAATCTTCTGTTTTTTCATTTCAAGTAAATTTCTTTTCATGGTGTGAGAATTTCTTTGTAAAATAGGAAAACAAGATGATACAGAAATCTATAAAGTAAATACCCAACAAGAGATTTCTCCCGTTCTGTTTCAGTTTATAATAATCACCAAAGTGTAATTTTAGCAAAGAATATAAAGATGCCTAATGATATATCTCCTTCAATTTATTACTATACAAAAATAATTAAACCGTGATAAAGAAGCAGTAGTTGAAAACATACTGTGGTAGTGAAACACACTCAAAGCATCCAGATGAACTGAATTTATCTGACTAAGGGAAATTCAGTAGCACATTTTAAAATGTATCAGTGGGAGCAGATACTTAACCTTTCAGGTCTTTTCTTGTAATGCTTGTACTCTGTGTGTACTTCATACTTTATCTGTAGGAAAAGGTGTAATAGAATAGTGCCCGCTTTTCGTTTGTCATTTCTTCTGCATATATTTTGTTATATCAAAAGCCTTTTCTGGATTTGCTATTCATCTTGCTCTCCCCTCTCCTCCCAATTTTGGTACAACCACATATCGCATTCAATGATTCAAAGATAAGTTCTTAATTTCTTGGCTGTTACAACCTAAAAAATAAGGTAATAATTTTTCCACAGGAAGTGCATGTTGCCCTCCACCTTTCTGTGGTACTGATGGCTGTAGCTCCTTTAGAGCACTTCCTCCTGCCTTCTGCTCTTTTCCACTGGACCTGTACTCTTCACCTTCTTCACATCCTTCTTATTTAACACTTATTGGCTCTGAGTGATTCTGATTTTCCTGTTAATCAGTTAGTATGGGGATTTTTTCCTTTTTTTTTTTCTTTTTTTTTTTACCTTCCCCCACCAAAACAAAACCCAAACCCTGGGTTTAATTTTGCTTCTTGAATTGCACAAGTGTTCTGTGAAGTAGAAAAAGCAGATGGTAATTATAGAGTCAGATTCTTCTTTCCTCTTGGTGTAAGACAAATACATTCAGTGATATTATGGCAGAATGTGTGAAGTAGGAGTGGAATCCAGCTCTTCTAAGGCTGGAACATTTTAAGACAGAAGCTGATTGTTCTTAGCTGTATGTTGGAGGTATTTTGTCTGAAAAATGGGTAACAGAAGAGTAATTTAGTGTATTCTAGATCTTTTAATACTGCATTGAAACTTTGCTAAAGAATACTGTATTCTCTCCTTTCAAAAGAGTTTACTGGCAATTGGCAACTAAAACCTTTTTCAGAGGAAACAAACAAAAGTCTAGAATATTCAACTATCAAAGAAATTTGATGGTTAGCACATACATTGATTTAAAAATAAGTACTTTGTACACTGCAATATAGTATGCTTAATGGTTAACACAGCAGAAATTTTTTTCTTCTGTCTGGGTGAATTCTGTAACCTTTCAATGTATTAATTAATTTAAAATGAAAAAAATTCAACAAGGGTGGGAAAAATAAGATATTTAAATTTAGGTGTGGTGGGACATAGTGCCTGTCAGTCCAGTTCAGTGATACTCTTACCAGAACCTCCTTCATATAAATATAAAATAGATGGTGCTGTTAAACCCAACTTTTGGTGTGTAGAAATAAATAATAATTATGTATGACTTACATATATGTATTTATGTAACAATGAAGGAAAAGAGGTGAATTAATCTGATGCGTATCCACTGCATAAATTTTTAATATATTTAGAAAGTACAAAAGTTACTGCTATTCCCCTGGCACTAATAAAGTAAGCAGAACTTCTGATCATGTGTGGATTACATGCCTTATAATCCATAAAAATTGTTGTGTACTAGAAACTAGTTATTGCAAATACTGGTATTTACATTTCTGTTTCACAGGTTTGTGATGTACTAGCATGTGAAGGTATGCTTCTTGAATATTCTAATAGATACTGGCACTGCACTCTGCTTATTTTGGTATTTTTATTGTGGAATAGCCTCATTTTACAATGTAAAATTGAATGGAAATGCATTTTCAGTTAAGAAACAACATAGTCAGATACCAGCTAATACTTTAGAGACAGAGAACGTGTGGAAATTGGCAGTACTTGCTTGTGTTTCTGAGACATGTTTGCTAGAATTAATATTTTTGGAGTCCTGTAGGATTTTGCTTGCCTTAGGCTGAGTGGTGTGAAATGTAATTGAACTAATGATTCACTGTGATGAGATCATTTTAAGAATGTAGTGGGCTTCTTATTGTACAATACTGTGGCATAAATTTGCCCTTTTTTTTCAGCAATGCTGCCTCTTTGCATTCTGTTTTAGTCTATCTGTCAAGCACCCACACCTTCATATCGCTCCTGAAATCCTCTTGTGTCTGTAGGATATGTAGTGTATCTTCACAATTTACTCTTTATTTTGTCTTGTGTTAAATCTATCATGCGGTGCAGATCATGTATGACTCTGTTTTATGATGGTTTTTGGATGTATGTAGGATGGCACGTATTCTTACTTGTATTCCTTCATGCTGTATGCAGAATTTTTTTTGCAGCCCTCAAAGTGTACTCCAATGTAGTATAAATCCCCTTTTAAAAAATTTAATGAAGATGAAGAATAGTAAAAATGAACCTGCTTGTATTCGTAAAGGCAATCAATGAGTGTGATCGACACAGCCTTTAAAACTGGGCTTAATCTTTCTGGGTAATTCCTAGGCTGCTTTTTCTCTGCTATGAAGTGCTGCTTCATTGCATCTGATTTTCTAATGAATGAGCTTTTAACACTAAATGTGTAATTCTTGAGGTTTTATTTAATTTTAAAAAGTAAGGTTATGTTGTCAAGAAACCTTTCAAGTCTGAAAGCTTTTCTAAATGCATTTTTCAGATAAGGACATGATGTAGACTTATTAATCTGTTCATTATCATTTCTCCCTTCCTTCTTTTTAAATGAATGAGTAGTATCTTTCATTTAAGAATGCTTTATTGGAAGATTAGTAATCACGGAAATCATGTTATGATATTAACCCTACACATCCCACATTCTTCTCCTTCTAGTGTTCAAAATACAGAGGGTAGCTTGAAAGAGAAATGAAGAAGGGCTACAAAAAAGGAAAAGTAATAGCTTCTGCTTAAATATTTTGGGTGCATTTCTTTTCAGAAGTAATTTCCAAAATAATTTTTTAACATTGTTAATGTGGAGGATATGGGATTTAAAAAAAAGCTTACTGCATTTACTTCCTCTCTGCAACCTCTCAAATAAGATGTAGAATTTCAATTCTTGTAGGAAATCAGAGATAACATGGATAAAAAATAATGCTTTAAACAAGTGCAGTTGAATGAAGGTATTTTTGGGCTAATTTCAACAAAAAAAGCCAGTGAAAATATGAAAATATGTTTGAATATATAGTAATTTCACATAATCAGTTATTGTCAAGTGGATAATAATATTTCTAGGTAGAATTTCAACAATTATAAGTGGCTATTCTTTGTGGAATATGGAGCTGTAGTATTATATTTTGAGTCTTCACTTCTGGTAAGCTAAGGCATGAGTCCAAGTAAACTAAGGTACATTAAAAGTATTTTTAAGCACAAAACCAGTTTTGGCAATGCACATATGATTAATAATTTAGCGATGTAGTAGAAAAGAGCTTTTTGTTCTCTTAAAACTGCGCTTTTTTTATACACAACTTCAGAAAAGTGCTTTAGAAATCCTAATTTTTTATGTAATAATACTTTAGTCAAACTAGCTCTTATATTCAGGGATATGATCTGCTTTTTTATATAAGATAATAGTTATTGAGAATTAGCATTTAAAATATACTGGTAGCTGGTGACACACTGGTCAGTTTATGTAACACGAGGAGTGAAATCATGCTCATTGATTTTGCAGCTTTTTGTTTTGTTTCCCCCTCCCTGCCACTGTTTCATTGAAATTAAGAATTTTTTAAGCATGGCATGGTGCAAACAACTTGACAAACTTATGTTTGGATGAATATCTTAATTCTTGCTTACAGTGCTATGGATGATGATAACTTCATAAGACTTCTTGGTTCTTTGATGCAGGTTTAAGATGAAATTAAAAAAGACAATATAGAACAAAGGTATGCCATGGCTGCCCAGTAATGCAGGAATACAGTAGCTAGCAGCATTGGTGACCAGTTTGTGATGAGGCAATTGCATGGCTAGAACTGAACACACTGGAAAATAATAAAGTTATCAAGGGCAAGAAAAATTATCTTCTACTTTACCTGTGGCATTTAACAATCATATCTTTGTAGATAGATGGTATGTATGAAAAATTTCTGTATGAAAGGTCACACAAGAGGTCAGTGTGAAAAATCTAAGCCTTTACACAGGATTGACTCTGTTGGTTGTTTTATAGCATCAACCAAATAATTTTCTCATCCATGCTTTTTTTCTTTCATTTAGCCTGTTACCCTACCCTGTCCTTTGAAATTATTCAAAACTGTGTATTTTCTATGTAGAAATTGTGGATCTGAGATAGTATATGCAAAACTTTTTACTTAAGAGTACTGTCAATTTTTGGAACAGCATGAGGTTTTTTTCCCCTTATCAAAAGTTTATGAACCACTCAAATACCATGTAAATGGCTTTTTCTGCATGGTAGTCGCATGCTGGAGAAGATTAAAATAAGTACGATGTCTAAATATGAGGTCAAAATGCATCCAGGTTGTAGCTGCATAATATTCATAATTCCTCTGATCAATACTGTTTATGAATTAAATTTAAAAACACCATATCATACAAAATGGTGAATTTGTGCTATAGAAAAGTATTCCCAAGTGCAATTTTTGCTTAAAAATTCTTTTATATTTACAGAGAAACTGAGCCATACAAATATTTTTAAAAGTTTGCACTTCTTTAAGGCTATTTATTTTCTAAAAAAAGAGGACTTGAATATTTTTGACAAATATACACATGGTGTTACGCTAACAAACAGCCATGCAACATATATCTTACATAATGAAGAAATTGAATATACAAGACCTACTCTATTTAACATATATATTGAAAATATACAGTCTCACCAATAGTTAAAAAAGTTTTTCTTATTTGGCAGTATTTTTTTACACTTTGTTCAAATATTCCGTTTGATGTGTTTTGGTGAAAACTGAAATCTAGTCAGTGACAACCTGAGGTACTAAACATTTCTGCCTTACTTCGCTGTCTTCAAAGGTAATCTTTTTGTTCCTTTTAGGCTCTATCCATGAGTTGTGTATTACAGCGTTATTTGGCATGGGATCTGCTTCCACTATTGAAACAACTCGCTTTTTCATCTTACTTTTCAGAACTTTCTGAAACTTTTGCCTTGTGAATGCATAAAGTAGAGGGTGAAATATAGTTGTTCCATATGCCATTACTAGAAAACATAATCTCAACTTTACCAAAAGGTCACTTGGGCCCAAACATAAGATAGTGGTGTTCAAAACAGAGATGGGTGTCCAGCAGAGAAGGAATGTTGAGATAATCAGAAGGGACATTCTGAAGACTCTCTTTTGCCGTTCTCTTCGCTCCCGGTGCCGTTTTACAGCTCGGCGTAGAGCAATTATGACAGACACGGAAGTCCTTACACCAAAGACAACATTTTTTCCTCCACTGCTGTGGGACATGTCCGTAGTCTCATGTTGAGTGGTCAAAGAAATAGTTTTTTTCTTTCTGTTTTTCTTCTTTTGTCCTGTTGTAAATCTTGTACCAATCCGAATATTTAGGGCCTGGAGTATTTTGGTGTATGTAATTAGCATTACTATAACAGTGAAGAAAAATATTGGAATCTGAACAAGAATGTGGTAGTACATTCCTAGTTCAGTGTGGTACTCGTTTGTACTCACGCACAGAAGTGTCTTATTTTCCCAAGTACTTGCACTTTGAAGACTGAAAAAGTTGACTTCAATGAAAGGAATCAGGAAGGAAAAAAGTGAAATGATCCATATTGATGTCATTAGTATCACAGCCCTTCCCATGGTCAGGATTCGGTTAGCAGGTTTTACGGAGATGTCGTATCGGTCCAGGGTGATAGCGAAGACGTTGATTGCAGTTGAAACACTTGCAAAAGAGACACAAGCCTCATGGAAGCAGCAGATGAGAGCAGTGTTACTCTCCAGTGAAAGCAGAAGGATAACTATAGTTAGAGGAATACATCCCACACAAATTATTACATCAAGTACATGAAGGTTCATTGTAATTATGTTACTGACAGAATTGATTAAGTTGGATTTCATACAGTAAAGTACCAGCACGGTGAGGTTGCTGCCAAGTCCCAAAACAATTTCTAACATCAGAAATCCAGTGAGAGAAACTTGAAAGCTTAATGGATATGACAGTGGTTGGTACATGTTGGTATCGATGTCATCAATGGCATCTCGAACTGTAATGTTAGATTCGGACTGCATGTTGACTTCCAGAATGGGGGACAAACACATTCTTTTGTTGCAGCTGGTTTTTCTCCTGAAAGGTGAAATAAAATACGGAACTATTTGATTTCTTTTTTTTAACGCTCATTGTAGATAAATGCTGGGGAAGGAAGAGGGAGGAAAAGCAATATTCTTACCAAACTCTTCATTTACAGTATGTTTAGAGCTTTAATTGGCATCGACTCAAAAGCCTGAAGATCTAGAATAAGGTCTTTGCTTTTTAAAAGAAAGCAGGATTTGTTTGAAAAAATAAAAAAATGGTGAAAAGCTTCCACTTAGGGAGGCAAGCCTTTGTTTATAGTGATGTGGTTTTTCACAAAGGGCTCATTTGTTGAATAAACCATACTTTGTGCATAGCCTTTGTATTGCTTTGAGGGTCATTTTAGAAGAATGTTGTTAAGTATTAACAAATTAGTGATCAAGATAATTTTAAAAAGCTCTTTTGGAAAAAGAAGTGTTAGGAACATGGAGCACTGTTGCTTATGTATCATAAAAAGGATGTTTAAATTATTTATGCCAATTTAGCCATATCTTTCTTATGAGGTTTACAGTAGTGTTGTGGACTGAAATGTGATGTTCTGTTATTCACCAGATTTTTACAGAGTTTAAACCTTCTGTTCATTTTAATCTTCTGTGCATCTATGTCTACGATGCTTGCCACTACAACAACTTTTTATAAATATATACAATTTCAAATGCAAAACTTATGTGGGTTTGGTAAACTGAGTTTATTATAAATTACTACATTTCCTTTCTCTGATTTGAATATTAAATTTCTTCAAGAAATCTATGCCTACATGGAATGGAAGAGTATTTAATTTAATTCCAGAATATATTTAAGGGAATAATTTTAGCAACTAGTACTTAAAAAGAAAATTGTCTCTTTCGGGTTTTGTTTGTGGTTTGCTTTTTCTTTTTTTACAAACTACATTTAAACCAAACAGATTTACATATGTAGCATCTTTCTCTCAGGAATAAGTGTTCAAAAAGGTATTTCTTTTATCTAGCAGTTTTTCTATTTTGTGTTTCATCTGCTTAGTTTTACACATGTGGGTAAGTTTTAAATATAGCAACTGCATGTAATACTGATGTTTGTATTATTTATACTGTCAGCCAGCTCTTGAGTTTGTAATTGATTGAATAAATAAAAGAGAGGTTATTCAATTTCTTGTTATGATACTGGAGGGGTTTTTTTTTTCCTAGGTAGCTTTAAATTTAAGAGGGGACATATTTGGCATGAAAATAAATTTGAAGGTCGACCTTTGTTCTAATCTGAGTACATTAAAATGGATAGCACTAAGGTGAACAAAATTGAGCTCTTTTAAAATGAAAGTATGAATTAAGCACACTTGGGATACAGTATGCAAATGGATTTCATCTGCAGTTATGAAAAGCCTCAATTGAACAATACTATTAATTGCAAATTGTGTGATAAAAGTTCTTGGTATTCTTCAACAGTTATTTCACATGTGCCTCTTAAATAAAAAAGATGTAAATTAGAACGTATTACTCTCAGGTGTGAAATGAAACAAGAAATATTTCAAAAGCTTTGTTTCATTTCTAATTTAGGCAATCTCTATCTGTCTTACATTAACCCTCAGGAGTATGATCTCCTCTTGCATGCTGTCCTGGCTGTGAATGGATTTCAAACCATTCCAAATGCATTGCTGGATAAATGAAGTTCTTTTATGTTAGCAAAAGCCAGGAAGAAATCAAAAGCAGATCTGCTAAAACAAACTACAGTCTCACCCTAACATTATAGCAACGGAGATTTTGTGAAAACAGAAAACCTCAGATGTGTTAGGCTGTCACGAATAGATGAAACATCACCTCCTTGCTGCCTTGCCTGGGTTTGGGGTGCAGGGAGGCAGAGTGGTGAGGACAGGAGCTCGTTCACCCGGCGCTGCGCGGGCACAGCCGGGGCACCTACCTGTTCTCTGTGCCTCAGGGGCCTGGCACAGCGGGGCAGCAGCTTGGCAGAAACTGATACATGGTGGCACTGAGAGATTTTTGACACGCACTGTAACCTGGAAATCAAGTGGTAGCTGAGCTCTTATTTAATTTCTTGCAGATTTTTTTGTTTCCCTTTTTTTCGTTCCTGCAGTTCAGCAGCAAAAAGTTCTGATTAAACATGGGGGCTTCTTAATTGTCTCAGATACTTCTACAGAGCAGGGCATATTCTGTGTGTCTGTTCTGAGTTTCAAGCCAGCAATAACAAATAGACCTTCTTTTAAGTGATGTTAATTTCCTTCCCCTGTTGCATTTTGTAGAAGCCTGTTTTTATTTTCCAGGTTTAAAGAAAAATAATTTCTGATCTCTTGTTTTCAGAGTGTGTGTAGACATCCTTAGTTTATGGTTGCGTATTTCTTTCTGTAATATTCCTGCTCATTACTTTTGAGTGATGGCTTAGTGAAAAAAGTTTCTATACATCATAAAATCCAGTTCATGTGCTTTGAGAGTAACCATGGGTTACCTAATTTGGTTTATTTTGATTTAAGGAGAATACATAACATCATAAAATTGAGAGAAAAATATCCATTAGTCATTATGACAAGTAAGTTATTTAATGAGTAGAGTAGTAATAGAAAAAGCTTGGTTAAACCTTTATTCAGCTTGCTGGTGAAGTATGCATATTCTCCTTTTGGGATTTCATGTTTCATTGTCTCTTCATGCATCAGTAGTTTCCACAATTCTGGTTTTAAATTATAAATCCCTCTTTAAGAAATGCTCACCATTTTAAGAATCAATCATTGCACTCTTCTTTTAATGAAAATCTGAGCAGATGTGTTAGTCTTCCATGTATGTTGTTGAAGTGTCATGCAAACAAATGGTAATGCAAGTGTGTTCCATGTTTTGTTTTTAATTCCTTTATGTCTTAAGAATACATTTTAGGGATGCATCCTGCTGCTTGTAGGTCATACAGCTACAAAGATACCCGGTCAACTGCATTCTTCATATTGTCAGTTGTAAAACTGAATTAGTTGCTGCATGCCCTTGTGAAGGGGAGGAAAAAAAAGGTTAAAAGTAGGGCTTATCATTTCAAGAGTAAAGTAATGCAAGAATGTATTTTCTAATATCACTTCATGAATAAAGAGTCTCTAAAATTGCACCTTATAGATTACATAGAAAATCAGTTAGCCTGCACTCTATTTGTGAGTAAAATCATATTCTGTCAGCTTACATGAATTTAGGTTTTTTGGACAAGTTTCCTGTTCTCCAGATAGTGTAGGTTACAAAAAAATCCTGGCTAGAAGCAATAACTGTTGGATGCAGAGTGTCTGTGACTGAAGCTAGGAAATGTAGTTTTATAGCTCTGGTGAGCAGGTAGTTTATACATACAACTCTCTTGTCTTTTAATGAACTGAACAGAGTTAATGAGCCTTTTAGAAAAAAATGCTTGTGTTTAATTTTCACATTGTTATACTTTCCTTTCTTGAAATAAATGTTTAGCAAATCCATGCTTTTAATAAATGGCTTGAATGTACAGGATAATGAAAGAAATAAGTTTAAAAAAAAACAACAGAGAAGGGGGATTTCCTGAGCAATCAGAGATTAGTCATATTAGCCAACCTTCATAAAGCAATAAGTATACACTAATTACAAACTGTCTGATCCTTCGAAGAGTAACTGAATAAATCTGAAATGTATTTAACTGCCAGTATTTGGAAATACTGCTGAGGGAGGAAAAGCATATTCCCGGTTGCTTTATGTCGTTGTTTTCCCCAATATTGTATGAGCTTAAACTATACTGTCTTTATGTAGTACAAACAAAACAGGTTCTTAATATTCTATAAGACTTAAATACAGAATAACATTTTTCTAGCACTATATTTTTAATGGGGAAGGGGAAATAGCATTTAGATATTTCCTAGTCTTAAATAGAACAATATATTACTGCTTAATATAAGTTGAATCTGATCTGTTGCCTTTTTTTCCTCCAATTTTTAATTTGGTTTAATGTTGTTTATTCTGCATATCATAATAAGGAACAGGTCTTACCTCCACTAAAGATTTGGTAAATTCTCGATGCAGGTGAAGCAGTTCCAGGTTGGAGGGATTCATTTTGTTCACTTGTTAGAAGAGTAGAAGGGAAAGAGGGTAATAAGCATATCTTCAAAAAATGACCTTAATGAAAATTTGTGCCTGTACTGTGCCATTGTTTCAGCATACTGCTAATGTATACAATTGCTTTAGTTCTGGTTTACAGGCTGCTGCAGTCTCCCACTCTTCCTACCGTAGAATCAATAAGCATCTGAAAATACATAATGAAAGTAATTTAACATACTGAAGGCTTCTTGTCTCCAGAGACACCACTGAGATTCAAGCTTTCTAAAAAAGAAGAGCAGTGCTTCTGAGAGGAAAGCTTGCGATGGGCAGCTTTTGCAGAATGACAGCCTACCTTGTCGCTTCTCCTCACTGCAGAGAGATGCAGTGCATTCACTAATTTTGATTGGTCAGTGATGTTGGGCTTAAATTGTGCTTCATATATGGGATTGATGCCCTCCCTCCCCCCAATTTATATAAGGATTCTTTTATAAAAGGACTAAATTTACAAATGATTTATGAATTCTGGAATATATTAAGGGTATGCCTGCTTTATTTTTACCTTTTCACTCTTTACTTTGTGTACACTGGAAACCACATGGCATTGAGAAAAAAAAAAAAAGGATTAAACGGTTATTACTTTAAAAGCTTCCAACAATCTATATTTGAATTTGCCTACTTTCCATTTCTGAGCCTTTTAGGTGTTTGAGTTTTTAATTTAATTTTTTGTTTGTTTGTTTGTTTTGGTTTGTTGATTTTTCTTGTCTTAAGAACCTTCTGAAATAATAACTGCCTCTTTAAGCCATGCTGAATTTCACCATGCATATATACATGCAAATGGTCATCTAGGTTTTGCAGCAATAAGTTATATTCAGGACAACTTGCTACCCACATGTATATTAGGAAAATTTATGTTAGGATGCAGTGAGATTATTCAGACCCTGGTAATTATTCAGACGTGATAATTCGGTTGATTAATGATCAGAAAAACATGATTTTAAGATCCATCACTATGTGAAATTTATGTATAGTTGTGGAGGTTATTAATTTTCTTGAAATGTAAACTTCTAAAAAAATTGTGTGTTCCACATAAATTTTGCTAGAGGCTTGACAGGTTTTTGTAAGGATGTCTTTCTTGTGTGATGTTCTTGACCTTCACTTTGCAAGGGATGTCTTTGTTTTCACTTTTTGTTTTGTAACTTATTTCTGAATCTGTTCTATCAGTATAAACAACGCTCACAACCACATAATGAGAAGTGTAGTGCAATATCTTTTTTATTTAGTACTGGTGCTAAATAAACCTTGGAAATAATTTCAGTATAAACCCCAAAATAATATTTTTCAAAATCAGTTTGCTGAAACAAATAGTTTAAGAATATCTGAGTATAAAATGTCATATAGGTAGTTTATAATCTCAAATGAATGTAGGGCTTTTTTTCCACCATGATTGAAAAGATTTTTTGGTGATAAAATGTGATAAAATACTAAATGTTAGAGTTCTTACATAAGTAACTGTGTTAAGATGGTAGTTTGAGTCAAATTTTGATGGGGTCCTCTGTTTTTAGGTTGTTAATGCAAATACAGAATGCAGTTGTGTAACTCAGATGTCTTTATTTCTTTTCTTTACTTTTTCCTTCAGTCAGACATCCAATATATTATTTATCTTTAGATAACAGCATGCTTTATTTATTTTTTTAAATGGATTCATATTCGTCTAGCAGGCTTCCTCTTCCATACTCTTTTGCATTCAGAAGCCATGTAAATAAAGATTGCAGAAACTTTGAACAGAGATCAGTAGGTACCATCAGGCTATGCTCAGATTGAGCCCTTTGAGCTGTCTCTGTATCATCTCCCTCCCAAGAGCTTGAAACCAGTGATACCAGCATAGCTCTTCAGGGTGATGTGATAAAGAGGATTCCTGAAATGCAAGCATAAATACTAATATATTAGAGATTTACTTGCTTCACTTTCAGTATGACTAAGGATAAGTAAGGAAGCCTGTCTAAATTTAAACAGATGAATCTCCATCTCCCTTTCTAATTCTTTAGTGTGTGCCTGAACAAAGATGGAGGTACTGGATGAGCTGTACTGTTAGAAAAAGGATGTACACACAGAGGAAGATTGTAGCAGGATTTTGGGTATACCAGGAATATATGGTTCAAATGCAGGCAAAGGGGTCACAAAAGACTACCTATATGACAGGAGGTGATATTGGCAGAAGTTTTATCTGCAAGAAGTGTTTGAGAGGAGTGATAAGGAGCTGAGTTGTTAACATATTAAGCTTAAGTTTTCTGGAGACAAAATCAGGAAAAGAAGCAGTACCATATGGAGGCAATCAGGAGTAGGTGGATGGATAGACATGCTTATAAGCCATTGCTGTGCAGATGCTAGTTAAGATGGTGTGAACAGATGACTTCATCCTCAAAGGGTAGATAGGGAAGAGTGGGCAAAAAGAGCCATGTGCAGGCACCCAGCATAAACAGAAAATGTGCTGTTCTTATACCTGTTTCTATATCAGGATAGATGGGAGAAAGAATTTGACTGGTATTTTGTCTTTTAAGGTAGTGAAAAGTGCGGTGAAAAGGTAATGAGAATGTAGAAGTATCAGGGAACAGCAGGAGTCCTAAACCAGGAGAGTGATGATGAAGGGTCTTAGGATTGAGAATGGCAACACAAGGAGAGAGGAAGATCCAGATGGTTAACAGAGAATAGACTGTGAAGGGTTGAGGCTGCTGGGTCTGATGTGAGGGGGAAAAGAAATTCAGAGAGGCAGGAGCTTGAATCAGAGTGGAGCACAAGGTGTAGAGGCGTGTGCATGTAAAGAGACACTGAGTGCACAGGGGTAGAGATAATGGCAATTGCCATAACACACACCCCTGAGTGAACACACCCCTGTAGTACTTCTAAATTAAATTCAGGAGTCATAGCTGTATGTGAGAATATATTTTTCTGTTTTGCTGAGAGCAGGAAGTCTAGAAATTTGGAAGTTGTAGTGTATTTCTTGGTCCTCTTTTGTCTTGCTTTCTGTCTTGCATCTACTGTCTCACTTTGTACACAGTGGAAGTAACATCCCAGCACTGACTGTTACTGCCTTCACAAATGGTGGGAGGTCATCCCTAGATCTGAAGGTCAAAACTCTGCTGTTATAAGGTCACCCTGAATCAGTATCTTGAACTGCAGTGTTTTAAATAAGCTTAGTTTGTTTGAAAAGACTCATTAGGCTCAAAAGGTCTAGCAGGGCCAAATGAAGTACGTAGTTCTAATGTTTTTCTATCAGAGTCCTTGATTTTGGAGCTTTAGAATTCTTTTCATGTGTTTTACATTTTAACTTTCGATAAACCTACTGCAGACTATTTTAACATCCAGATGTCATGGATCTTCATGAAGATCTTTACTGGCACATTCGTGAAACCATGTCTGCTCTCTTGCCTTGTCCTCTGCATTATTCTTTTTTTCATCCTGAATGCTTCAGCAACACTTTTTTCTTTGTACTCCACATCTTTTTTCCTAGTCTGAATCTTGCTGCTCATTTAGTGACTATTTAGAATTTTACTGCTTCTGGGTCTAAAAATGTCATCTGTTTTCATATTAGCAATAGACTTGAGATCCTAATTCATACAGATTTTTTAGTGCCAGATAGTGTCTTTAGAGCTCAAGTTGCTTTAGAAAATGAATATCGGGTGGTTTTGGACATGCTCACCTGGAATTGTTGTTCAGCATTATTTACATGGTGCATCTGCAGAATTCCAACTAGATAGCTCCTCTGTACCTTTCATTTACCTACCCTGAGGAGTGTCATGCCCAATTCTAAGCTAGCTCTTCTGAATATTTTGTGATTTGAATCTGTTCTAGCAGTTTGTGATCTGTATCTAAAATTGTTTCTTACCTTGTTGTATCTCAGTTTCCTTAATAGTCAGTTGCAAAGAATTTTGTTAGAATATTTTTGAAAATCCAGTAACTTCTGTAGTATCAAGGAACAATAAGCAATGGCTAATAGCTGTTTGGGTTTGGGAGTTGTACTGGTGTGCCCTTGTTATGCTGAATTTGTAAATGTGTTCTGCTTTCTACATGATACTGAAATTACAGCTTGTTGGTCTGGAGCATGCTGTAGCATGCTTTTATGTAAATCTTGACTCCTGACCCATACACAAGATCTAGTCATAAAGGTTTTTATTATTATTTAAGAGTAATATGCTGAATAGATGACAAAAATTCTGTTAGAATTTGTAGATAGTACCATTCTGACTCAGATGGTAACATGTTTTTTTCTTTCTTTTGGCTCAAGTACTTTATTCTCATTTCTTTAATGTATAGAGAACTGTTCTAAGGTTATTATTCCTTTTCTGCAGCAAGGACTAACATCCAAAAATATTAATTTTCTGTTTAGTGTCTTACTCGTAAAGTTTATTTTCTCTTCTCTCTTACTGTTGATTGCCATCTTGCTTTGTTTTGTTATTTTTATAGTGACTTATTTAGGTTGGGTTTTGTAAGGGGTTTTTTTTCCACTTTTCTAACATTCATGTTTTCCATGACAGAAAACAGTCTTGCATGTGGGACATTGTTGATCTCAGTTCTGCCACTGTAGATTTACATCCCTGGAAAGATCTGGATTTTCCAGATTAATTGCATGTTGTTTCATTGTGCTTCCTCTTGTATTTGCAAGGATCTTTGCAAGCAGCACAAAGACAAGTATTTTTAAATAGATATAGAATAGATTATAAATAAATGATACAATAGTATATATATTTTCACATGTTTATGTATTTTTATATATAATGTGTACATATTAATTTTCAAGATTCAGAGTTAATTATAGCATAGCTGCTTAAGTATGGAAAAATTAACTACTTTTGCCATGGAATAAGAGTGTCTTATAAGATACTTTTGAGTTTGTATAACTATTAGGCATAGGTTATTTGTTCAGTAGTAGTCCGTGTTAGAACAACTGTTGACCTTTTCAGCACTGAAAGGTTCTGTACTCATGAGGAAATGTGTAAGTTAGAGAATGCCCTTTAGCTATTAATACCAAAAATGTATCTTGTTTTAGTTTTGCACGAGGTGATACCAAAGAAGAATTGTAAGGCTATCACTCATATGTAAGGAAGGCAGCCTTTTTGTATCATAAAAATAAATTTTGTTAAGTGATACAGCTAAATCATGATCTTAGTGCATTATTGCACAATTGTTTAAGCATTTTGGTGGGAAAAACAAAGCAGCAATATCCGTTGTGCTCAGGAGGGAAGTATGGCTGGTAAATTTAATAGTAATTTAAATAACATGCTACTTTTCTCTTTGGAAGTGGTTTGTCCTCTAGCATAAACATTCATAATGAGTGGTGTTTTATATTGTAGCAATTTTTAGAAAAAGTTTAATTAGTGACTATAAATTTAATTTTTTT